GAGACAGAGACAGAGAGGGGGGGGGGGACATTAACCACACGGCGCTGAGTTAAGTCTAAGTGGATGGTGGATGGAGCCAGCTCCTAGCAGGGGAGGTGGCCTGCAGCCCTGGCAGAGGTTGCACCTCTTGTAAACAATTTTGCTGCGCGTTCAATCGATCTTCGCTCAACGACTGATCAATGCACGAGCTACATGCTGCCTGGCAGAGCTCGCCGCTGATTGGCCCAGCCACCTGCAACAACCAATCACTCCACAAACAAATATGGTTAACAAGATAAGCGACCAACACACGTGCAACAAAAACTTTTAAACACAAATGAATCAATAAATCAGAGAGATGACATTGCACGAGCGAGGGGCTGCAACAGTGAGCAGTGTGGCCTACCCTCGCCGCCTCACTCTACATCACCACCCATCACACACATGTAGAAAGTGTGTACAGAACAGGTTTAGAACAGAATATGTACTGAACCGGTTCATGTGTCCACAGACTTCTCCTCTACCTGTCCATGACCTTCTCCCACGCCTGTGGGAGGGCAGGTGACCTGTGACCGCCATAGCCAAGTACACACACAGAGGCACCTGTGTGTACAATGGCTATGGCAGTAGGTACACAGGGGGGCACCTGTGTACCTACTCTTGTGTGTACACGGTGACCTCAATGTCCGTCATCGTGTGTGTGTTCGACTGGCGACCTTCGCTGGCTGTATGTATGTATATTATTCTGTATATATATATGTATAAGCAGTGCCATCACCCCTCACTACCCCCAAAGGAAGCGCGTGTCCGCGTCGCTGCCTACGTACAGACGCCCTTCCTTCAACCCCCCCCCCCCCCACTTCCCCTCCCTCCCTCCCCCCCCCCCCCATCACCAGAACCAAGCTTGGAAACGTTGAGGCTTCCTGCTGCAGGTAACTTGCCTTCCAGATTTACTCATCCACTCCCAACAGCTGAACCCCGTCTTATCATAAACCCCCACGTCTTATCATAAACCCCCACGTCTTATCATAAACCCCCACGTCTTATCATAAACCCCCACGTCTTATCATAAACCCCCACGTCTTATCATAAACCCCCACGTCTTATCATATATATTTACACCTGCACCGACACCTGCACGGGCGTCTCTCTCTCACATCCCAGATCTCCTCAACATCGTGGCTCACTCAGTTGTTTACCAGTTTAATTATATGTGCTTCCCCCACCCCCCCCCTGTTGCAAAACAGGGGGGGGGGGGAAGCACAATACATTAGTGATACATAACCCAAACTATCCTGGCTAGGTACCTGTGCTTTACCTGATGACGACTTCGATAGTTCTTGTCTTCCTGGAGCCACCAGTCTTCCCTGGTGATGGCCTGAGGTGTGAGGTGGTTGTATGCAGGCCCACGCACCCATCACAGTCAGGTTGATCCGGTAATGCCAGCACATATTTACATTGTTCCCTTGTTGTGCTTATGACATCCAGGCATTTCATTGGGTACATTTATCCACCTTCTACCTTCTCTCACCCTCCCTCTCTCTCTCTCCCTTTTTCACTCTCTCCCTCTCTCACTATCTCCCTCTCTCACCCTCTCCCTCTCTCACCCTCTCCCTCTCTCACCCTCTCCCTCTCTCACCCTCTCCCTCTCTCACCCTCTCCCTCTCTCACTCTCTCCCTCTCTCACCCTCTCCCTCTCTCACCCTCTCCCTCTCTCACCCTCTCCCTCTCTCACCCTCTCCCTCTCTCACCCTCCCTCTCTCACCCTCCCTCTCTCTCAAACTAAAAATGGTTCTTCTTTTTTAATAACTCTGTCTCCTTTCCATAGAGTACATTTTGAGAGCTGCGAGACGGTCCCAATAATTTAGATGTTTTATCGTATCTATGCGTGGCGTATAATAATAATAATAATTTATTTAGGAACAGTACATACATAGTTGCAGCGTTACAGTACAAACATTCTCTTAGATTTAAAGATAGAGGTAGTACATACAACACCTAAAGCCACTAGTACGCATAGCGTTTCGGGCAAGGAATGTTATATATGTTCTCTGTATTCCCTCTATTCATAAGGGTTCAAAACGGCCTCCTCGTCTCATCTGAAACCTGCTCCTAGAAACTCATTTATTTCACGAGAATGTACAGCACTTTGAAACTATCACATAGGGAACGCACAACCCGTAACGACATCAAAAGATTCAGAACAGTGTTTAAAGTATGTTCCATTTAAAGAGAAGTTAAGAGTCAGCACAGAGTCTGACGAGATAGAGGAGAAGCTCAAGAGACGGCTGGAGACTAGGAAGACCCTCAGCCACCTTCTGACACGGGTCAGAGGAGAACATCAAGGAGATCACTAAGCATGAAGAGCATCAACAAGATTAGCATCTTACAGGACAACTGCAGACGCAATCTTTCGGTCAAGAGAGACGAAGGTGGACAAGAGAAAAGCTGTCAAGATAAGGAGGGAGAGCTTTGCCAATGGGCGCCTGACAGCCGAGTGGACAGCACTCGGGATTCGTAGTCCTGAGATTCCGGATTCGATCCCCCGTGGAGGCAAATGAGCAGTTTCTTTCACCCTGTTCACCAAGTAGTAAATAGGTACCTGGGAGTTAGACAGCTGCTACAGGCTGCTTCCTGGGGGGTGTGTAACAGAAAAGGAGGCCTGGTCGAGGACCGGGCCTCGGGAACGCTAAGCCCCGGATATCATCTCAAGATAACCTCAAGAAGGAACCAGGAGGCAAGAGGATAGCAGGCAGAGCCTCTTGCAGTGATAACACGAAGAGGAACATCGGGTTAAGAGTTCGATGTTGTTGTTATAGATTTAGCTACTCGGAACAAGTTCCAAAGTAGCACGGGCTATGGTGATCCCGTAGTGGACTTACCTGGCACAG